ATAAGCATATTTATTTGTTGAGCCAACTACTATTAAATATATAAAAATAATTTTTTATTATAAGCATATAAGTATATATTCTATATAAGAACACTTTTTGTAGGTTCTGATAGTGTGATTATATAGGAGTGCAACTGTATATAAAATATATATTCAGTTTTAAACTTTAATTTGGAACTTATTAAATCAAATAAAAATAAATATAAGAGTTTTATATTATAGGCTAGTAAACAACTTATATTAGTTGTTATTAAAATATAAGTAATATAGTAACTATATATATTTTTTTTAACAAAGAAAAAACTTATACTTTTTTTTTAAAAAAAAAAACTATAGTTTTAAATTTTTTCCTTCAATGGTTTTTGCATCCATGATTAAAGGCATTATGCTGCTTTTATAATTTTAAATGCCAAATTACATCTGTTTTTAGTAATCATATTTCTACTAGCAGAAAAGAAATGTTCAAAAGCAACAGAAGTTGTGGAAATTGCTAGGTAGTCACAAGCCATACAGGAAAGGTAAGGATACTGGATTTGGTATGCCTATGTAAATATATTAAATTAATTTATTAACAAGATATATAGGATTTTTGCCTTGAAAATAACTTTATAATATATATTAATCACTAATTACTATATATCATAAAGTTATTTTCAAGACAAAGACTTTATATGCTGTATTTATTATCATATCTTCTATCATGCCAATATGTCAATTTCTTTGTTTGCTAGGTTTTCTGAAATGTAATATTCAAGTTTATTCAACTCTTTATTATTATTATTAAAGTCTGCATCTAGTATTGATTGTGTAGTTGGTTTTATAGCATTGTTATAATTCAAGAAGTTATTATTAGTAGTAGTAGTTGGCATATATTTCATTTCATAAAGGTCATGCATTCTAAAAAAAATTGTATAAATATAGTGATAGAAAATTGAATATCATAAAATTGGATCTGAAGTAGGGATTGTAGTCGATTCTAATTTATTGACTCAATCAAGTCAATATTTAAAAATCGGTTTAGCTGACTAAGTTAGAGTCAATCATCCTAATTGGTTAATTGATTTCACATGACTTAAAATAAATATGATTGGTTAATCACTCACTCATTAATACTTTGTTCTTGAAAAAAAATTTAATACTTTTTTAATAATTTATTTTAATAACTAAGCATGTCTAATATAGCTCTTTTATTTATAAGTATAGTACTGTATATTGTCACAGGTAATATGATGAGTCCAGAGATGGGAGCAAATGCAACAAATTGGCACTTAAAAATCGATTATATCATATAACATTTCTCAAAGATAACAGAAGTGGTTTTACGATTTGGCACAAAGCCAAGGCGATCGATGAGGAGTACTATAAGATAAGTATTATGATTTTAAAAGAGCATTGATTTATTGTACAAGTTAAAAGGGCTTTATTAACTTTATTATTTTTGTAGAGGTAATACAATTAGAGGACTTGTATTGTTATATTATTCTGAACTACAGGGCACTTTTGGGCACTACTGTTTTAGAGAGGAAATTCCATCCCTTTTTATAATAAATCAAACGAGAGAAGAGCCTGTGCAAGACCACAACTCTTTTTGTTATTACTAGCACTTCCTAACCTTATTTGTTATAACCTTTAACCCCTTCCATACAGCCTTTCATTACTTTAACATTTCTCACATTCTTCATAGAACTGCTAAGAAGGTTTCAGTATTATTTGATCTGAGGCAAGAACCTAATATATTGTCTTTAATTGCACCCTATTGACACTGCCTTGTACTTAACCCAAGTAGGATAAAGTGGTGTTAACATCCATTTTCAGCTGTAGTGGTATGAACAGGTTGGTCAAGATCGACCTTTCCTTAATTGGCAGAAGTGGTGAAGTCCCACATTGAGGCTTGTGCACCTTCATATATCTTTCTTGGGGCCAGGTGCACATGTTTCAAGTAGATCGTTATGGGCATCATAATTAGATAAAGGTGCCTTAATGATGATCATTTTGCAGGTTCTATGAAGTGTTGGTTTTGCCTCTGACAATATATATTCCAAATTTTAAAACAAAAAAAAAAAATCTAATTTTTTAACACTAAATCTAGTTAAATTTTATGATTTATAAGCTAGGATATACATTAATTATTTTAAAGTTTTCTTTTAAAAATAATAGATTATGAACCATATCTGTGTTTAGACAATTATGTTTTTCAGTTATAGTATTACCCGCATCAGAAAAGAGTCACTCAGAAGGTACTGAGGTTATGGGAATGCCAAGAAAAATTCATGCTTGTTCTGCGAGAAGAGGTAAGGCACTTTTGTGCTCATTTCATCAGCTTAAGGAATTACACTTCTCATAATGTGGGTCCTTTAGATCATACTTAGAGATTTGTGGAATTAAGAGATAAATCTGAAGTTTAGTGTCAATCAGAGAAAAGATGAAGGTTCAATTCCATCATCAAAAAAAGATGATATTTCAGTGTTTAAAACTTTATGGTAGTTGGTAAGTTATTTATATTATTAGAAAGTTCAATTTTTTTACGTAACTCTTAAAGCACTTCTTGCTGTGTTGTTGATGAGGTGGATGATAATGTCTTGAAGCAGGGATCTAGAAATGAAGCAAGCCATCTGACCATTTCTGGATCATTCTATTGAGATACCATTGATTCGTGAAGACTTTTGTGCAGTTCAATAACATAAATATTTGTAAGTTTGTTCTCTATTTAATCTAAATTTTTAAAAAGATGTCATACTGTTGGATACATCATACTCAATATTGGATATTAATCACCCTCTACAAATGTTAATGCTTTTGCAAATGGGTGTAAAAGTTGGCATAGCTTTTCCAGGCCTACATGTAAGCAAGAAAAAAAAATAATAATAATAAATTTTTTAATTAACTTCTCATGTTTTGAATAAGGGTGCAGGCAAATTGCTGTAATTATAATAAGTTATAGCAATTTTTGCTGTAACTTATTATAATAATGGCAATCTGCCTGCAACTTAATTTGAATCACTACCTGTCCATTTTTCATTAGTAAGCATTTTTTCATTTAGACTATTACCATCGGCACGAATAGTATGATCAGGATTATTTACCAAACTTTTAGCCAATTCTAAAACTGATTCTCAAAGTTCTAAAAGCTGCTGGAGAACAAGATAAGTAGAGTTCCACCTAGTGGCAGTGTCACTTGATATGGGCTCTAAAATTCACATATTAGTAGTATCTTGATTTTTTTTTTTTTCAATTATCTCTTGCTGAATTTTTCAGAACAATGATCAATATTTGTCACAGTTTACCAAAAAATTATTTAATAATTTTGCATGTATAATCAAAGCTTCACATTTTTTTAAACCATCTGTGACTGCAAGATGAATAGTATGGGCTGTATAGCCAAGGTAGGTAGTATCTAATTGCCTGATTGTTTTAACCATTGTTGATGCATTATCAGTTATTATCACTTTAACTTAATCAAACACATTCTATTTAGCAAGAGCTTTGCACAAAAAATCTTCGATCTGATCTCTTGTATGTAGATAGATAAAATACTCGATTGTAATTAAGGATTGATACATTGTAAAATTTTCAAAAAGCTAGTAGGCTGTCATGCCAATATATGGAACATGGTTTTGGGTCTACAAATCAGTTGTAATGCAAACAGAAACCATCATTTAAGACATTATTTTTTTTAATGTTGCATGTGTATAAAGTATTGATTCTTTAATTATATTTTTAATTGTGTTAGTACAGAGAACTTCAAATCACTAATTAATTTTATAACAAAAGTCTCGAAACTGATCATGGTTAATACAATTCAATAGCATCATTTCTTCAACTATTCAAACAATAAGTTGATAAGTAATATGATTTTGTTGTTTTTCAAGAAGAGGCAAGGTGTTCTTTATGTGCTTTTGTATCACTGTTTCAATTGTTTGTTGAGAGGTTGGTGTGGGTGTTGTAGTTAATGGTAGGGGTAGTTGTGTTTCACATTTTTGGGTTTTAAAAATTTTATGTTCAGTATGCAAATGCACAGCTATATTAGTTGTTGATGTTTTAGGCATAAACAATGTTGTACATTTTTAGAAGTATCATTATCATTATAGATACAAACATCACAATATTTGATCTTTGTTGATTTATCATGACAAGTATATTTTCATACCCAGCTACTTACGAGTTTATTTATTTTTTTTTGTACTACATTTGAATTTAAATTTTTTTTTGTAGAGACATTATAGGGAGTAAAGTAAGATATAATGGATGAAGGCTCTGCTGTATTACTCTCATCATCCTCCATATAGCCATCATCTTCATTATAGTTATCATTTTTATTGACAATATTTTTATTATCATTTTCATCATAAATAATATTTTTATTATTAACAATGTTTTCATTATCAACATTAAAGATTCCTTCATACTCAAATGACATGTTATATTTACCAGTAATATTATCAAGTGATTGGTTATTATTCATCCTTAAGGGTAGATTATTTTAGAACTTATGATGGAGTATATTGGTCTTTGCTTATATATAATGGTAAGAGTGTTAATGCAAAATTTTAATGCATTATATATCTTATTTTTAAATACATTTTTATTAAAACAAATTATTTATTAGGGTTTGGATGCAAGTTTCTTTGGGCCAAAAAACATGTGAGTATAAAAAATACTTATTAATACAAGAAACCGAAATTAGACATGCCAAAAATTTTCCCATCAAGCTATATTTTATATTATTATATGCTAGTATAATATTATGCAGCTATAGTATTATACAAGTGACTTTCGTTATAGCAATCTTACATTGAGAACAGGAGAAACTGTTAATGTTATACGACTAATTTTATACATGATGTGAAACACAAAAAAATTATTTTACAATACTTGATCGGACTTGATTAGCCAGCTAGTACATGTTACGATTATAATCCAATATTATTTTTTATAATAAAAAATAGTGTTGGATTGTAATCATAACATGTACTAGCTGACTGATCAAGTCCAATTAAAGTGTTGTAAAATAATTTTTTTATGTGTTTTACACCATATGTAAAATCAGTTGTGTAATATTAACAGTTTTTTCTGTTTACATTAAGAGAATACTATATATGCTTTTATTAGTTAAAATCAGTATTGTCAATTGGACTAAATGGATCTATATAGTTCAAGCAAAATTGGATGTCCAACTCTGATTGAAAATGTCTACTTAGTCCAATTGGCAAATATTCAATTTAGAATTCTGATTGCATCAATTTTTTACTATAACAAGAGTTTACTGTAACTAGAATAGGATAGATCATATCATAAAATAATTTCTTTTGAGGCAAAGCAGTTTTTATTCATAAGGGCATACTAATAAATTTTTCAATAAACAAATTTAAATTTTTTTTTTATTTGATTTGGTTATCATATTGTTGTTTTATGCTGTAATGGAAAGATTGTTTGTACCAGTACCATGTTTATGTATTGCATATCTATGCAATTAACACATAATCTTGTTCACAATTATAGAATTTCAGATCTTGTATATGGTTTCCACAGATTTTAAGTCAACCCACATAATTTATTGCTAATTCGTAGAAAATTAATACTAATTTATCATCATTGTTAGTGAATTAACATGCACATATAGACATGAGCATGTAGCATATTTTATTTGAGAACAGGGTAGGAATAGGCATTATTAAATTTTCTAGGCACAAGCACCTGCATGCGGCATATCAAACCAGTTGTGTTCTAAAACTAACTTATACATATCAGTATTACTATTATACATATACATATAAAATTTGTTATCATTACATAAGTCAAATTTATCTCAGGTATGTATTTGTTTGTACAGTACATATGTATATATATGAATTTTAAATTATATAATGATAGTATATAAGTCAGCTAAGCTGATTTTTTGAAAAATCAGCTGACTTAGCCAGCTAAGTCAAAAAAATCGACTAATACAAAATCGACTACAAACACTAATTTGTTTAAAATTAGTAACTTTATTCTGGTTAGTTCATCTATTTCTAAATTTAGCAATTACATTGTTTCTGTTGTGATTGTTTTTTGTCTATTAATAAAATTTTAATTTTCTGTTGTATCTGTTTTTGTTATTTATTCCATTCACTTTTTTCTGTGTTTTGGTCTACAAAACTTCTTATTTTTTTTTCTTTTTCTATTAGTTTTCTTGTTGAAAAACTTTTCTTGTCGATAAACTTGTCTTTTTATCTGTTGTTTTTTTCACTAAAGTGTGTATACTTTTCAGGCTGTAAGCTTGTCCTGCCTAATATTAAGGCACTTTAGGATAAGGCTGATCGTCTATTTGGGTGAGCTAGGCGATAATCTGTTTTGGTCTCAGTAGACAATTTTCCTTTTGTTATTCTCTTTTATTTTCTTGCAATTAGGTGGTGGCTAACACTTAACTGTTTTTAATATTTTCTTTTTATCATTTTAAGTATATTACTTAGAATATATATATTTTAACTTTTTGCTTTATAGATGCCTTGCCAAAGCAAAAGTCAAGCAATTTTCAGTCATTTGTTCTTCCTTCAAAATCAAGTTGCAAATTTGGAAGCTAAAGCAAGCAAAAGAGCTCTACTGAATTTCGAGATAATTCAACAAGAATAGCAATGAAGTATTATCCACAAGCAGGTAGTTATGAAAAAAAATTTGCTATGAGTTCAGGTTGCAAATTTAGAAGATGAGGTCCAGAAATTGTGAAGGAAGTTGAAAGAAAGAGAGGGTCAAAGATATTTTTGTAATATTTTGTAAATAGTGATAATAATAATAATAATAAAATTCTATATTAAATATAATCGATTTTTTTTTTTAAATTTTTGTACTAAGTTTTTATAATAATGAAATAATAAGTAATAAAATTATAAGTAAATAAGTAATAGTAATAAAAATGTTAGGTTTTATAGGGTACAGTTTTAATAACAACTTGTGGTTCTTAGTTTTGTCATTCATGATATTGTTCTAAATGATCACTATTATAGTATTTTTGTAAAATTTGTCCTTTGTTGTTGCAAAGTTAATAAGCATTATTTCCTAATTTAGCATAAACAGTAAATAGTCTAGTTCTTTTATCTTCAAACTTTGCAGAGTGTGAGGCTTCTATATTTTTTCATTGGATTAAAACTTTATCTCTAACTTCAAATTCTTCTGGTTTTAGTCTTTTGTCATGTCTTTCTTTTTGTTTTTCTTGTGATGCTTCTGTATTTCGTCTGGCTTGTTCTTGTGTTTCTGGTAGTTTGTTTATTAAATCAAAAGCTTGTGACAAAATACTGTCTTCTAAGTCTACTTCTGCATTAATTTCTTTTATCAGCAGAATTAATTCTATTGGTAATACAGCTTGTTTTCCATAAGTTAGCTAAAAAGGTGTATATCCAGTAGTAGCATGCTTCTTGGTTCGATAAGCAAAAAGTACAGCAGAAAGATTTATATCCCAATCTTTGCTGGTTCCTACTTTTGCTAAAGATTCACACAATGTTCTATTTAGTCTTTCTACTATACCATTTGTCTGTGGATGATATGATGATGAAAACTTTTGTTTTATAAGAAAGTTTTCACATAGAACTTGAATCATTTCACTTCAAAAGTTAGGTCCTTGGTCTGAAAGAATGGTCTTGGGTATTTCATGTCTACAAACTATTTCTGTGAAAATAAATTTTGCAAGAGTTAAAGCACTTGCATCTGGCACCACTTGAGCTTCTGGCCATCGGGTTAAGTAGTCTGTTGCAACAATAATATATCTATTATTGCGAGTAGTAATAGGTAAAGGTCCAACTAAGTCAATTCCAATTCTTTCAAAGGCTTGTCCTATCTTTATAGGGTGTAAAGGTTCTTTTCTTCTAGC